GAGACTGAAGATGACACTGGTATTTACCGGCCATTACTGTCGTTTAAGTGGATAGGTAAAGTAAGTATTTCCTAAGCTTCTTTTGGTGTAGATGTACTGTATAATCATGTACTGTCTTCCGTGACTGACAAGAGTTCTAACGTGTTATATAATTTTTAAATCCATCAGACATCCCGGTATAAATGTGAAAAAATATATAAAGCATTTTTGAAAGATAGTTGACGATGATCCCATTTTAAATTACTTTGTTGTTTTCAAAGGTTTGTCAATATCAAACAGGACTTTAATGTGAGTTGAAGCTTTAGGGGTGTGGGGATGCTGTTCCTACTACATATGTGCGTTGTTTACATCCCATTCGAGTCATTTTCTGATAGAGAGATTTTATCATATACCTAGAAAGGGTTTCAAATTTTAGTCATTGGGCATTAAAAGATCTTTTTCAATCATGCCAATGCAGAATCAGGGGACCTCAGTTGAAGGGGTGTCAACTAAAAGGTCTGTGAATTTCACTTCTGATGCTCATCGCTTGGTGATGGAAGGGTCATTATACATACTTACGTTTGTTTGTATGTTTATTTTGCGGCGGGACGAACGAGAATCGCACACTGACCTCCCAATCATGAACCGAACTCCCTACCACTAGACTAACGTGATCAGTCTGTTTCAAGTTATTCAATAAAATTTTATAAAGCACTATTTAAACAACCAAACACCAATTGGAAAATAAATTAGGGAAAGGAAATATCAATCACACTTGTAATAATTTTGTTTACTTTAGAATTGAAGCAATAGAGAGTAAATTAGTAAAAGACGAACAAATTTTAAAAACATTGATCTCATCGATTTAAAGATTCATAGGAATACAAAAATAGGTCCGCTAATAACAAGGCGCAATTGGTACCCAAAGGAATTCCGACATATTTTCCTTGACCTGGTATCTAAATACCACATAGATATTGTCAATCAGAAACTGAATCATCATTTTAGTTTTTTTCATTTTCAAAGTTCCTATATATAAAATCAGAATGCATTTAATTAAAATTTTGCAAATGACTATAATGACAAGGTATGTAAATTAACGAATTCCATTTTATTGAAAAGCAGCTGTTAGTTCTGTTAAAAAGTCTCCACTTAATTAATAATGGGGAATGGTTGTACAAATCGTTGAAAACTTGTACGTTTTGATGCTATGGAGTTGATAAACTTTTGTGAATACAAATATTTTAAAAAGTTCCTTGGAATTTTTAAGCATCAACAACTGATTTATACCACTTCTCGAATTTGTTGTTGTATATACTCCTGAAGTTAATGATATTTTGATAATTAAACTATAGAAGAAGATAATTTTACCTCATTTTTTAGATGAATGGCTTGTTGTGATATAGCTACATAACCTGGGGAAAAAACGAACAAAGACATGTAATTTATTATTTATTTTCAATTTGACATAGATCACACCATTGTTGAATAAAATGTGTATATAAAAAAAAAATGCAGCTATATTTTTTTGCAACATTGCGAGCATCCAGATTTATTTACGACTGAATGGTTGGAACAGGAAGAATTAGGGTTACGTTGTTAGTAAAAATGCCATCAACACGATTGATAAAAAAGACAAGGTAGGCTTAAGATCCGCCCCTCCATTGCTGTTATTCCCTCCAGGTGTTTGTACAGTTGTATCTGCGCAAAATATAAAGAAAAGTTAAAATTTTCTGGACAAAACCTGAACGTGTGAGTGAAAATATAATGTTGATAAGGTTTGATAAGTTTTTTCACATTCAGTTTGTTCAGTTAAAATGGAAGGATTGTAGAAAAATCTTTGAAAATAAAATCGTTTGCAGAAATACATGAAATTCAAAACAGGATTTGAATTTCTTTTAAAAATCTAATGACTATTTGAGGACATTCAGAGAAAGCTCACTGATGAATTCCCTGTAAAATTCCTAAGTTCTCTCTGATTTTAATGTCATTAAAAAATCGTACAAGGACCATACTTTTTGGATCTTCGAGAAGTCAGAAGCCAAGTAATGTTTTTCAGCAATCAAGATGGATTAAATATTTTGAATCCAGTCAAACACGGATAATTTATTCCAGTTCAGTTAATTGGTTTAGCAGAGTTTTATTTAAAAGAATGGTTCCAATAACTTAAATATCAAAAAGAAGACATGTATTGGAAATTCTTTCAGATTAAAGTATATTATGAAATTTATTATTCTTATTAAACCTAATCTGAAATGATTAATTTTTAAAAATAAAATGCCTGGTTACTCACTTCCGCCGGGTTGACAGATTGAACTAGGGACGGGATCACTTGAGTTACTGTCACGTAGTACAGGGGACTGAATACCAACCCAATAGGTACTGTAAACTTGTACGACCGTGGCACTGAAACAGAAAATATAAAGCAGAAGTTATAAATAAGATGCCATCGTCCATGCAAAAACAAAAGACACAAACACACACACACACACACATATACATACAAAAAACAAATCAAAACAAAACCAAAGAAAAAAATCAATCAACCAGTAAAATAAATCATGATGAAAAGACAAAAACTTACCGGAAGTAAATGTGACCAGTATTAGCGGCAGGTTTCCAGTAAAACTTGGCCTGGGTTTTGTCACTTTTAGTTGTATGTGTAACAGCACTCTAAAATTAAGATAACATGTAAGAGAATTATTTTAAACGAGAACAAAATCATTTTTGAGCTCACAATCAAATTGTCCCTCAATCCTAAATACTAGTACACCTTAGAGGTAATTAGAAGAGAGTTGTTCATAATCTTTAACCTGTGATGAATGTATCGCACATGTATGTAATTTCCTACAAGTTATATGTATTTTTGTTAAATTTATGTTGGAATTAATTAAAATTTAACTCCACCAACCGACTTATGGACCAGTGTATTAGGAAAACGTGAGATGTAAGTGAAGTTTGTAAAATGACGAAAAGTGAGATCCCCAGTATATGAAAAGTGCATCTGACTAACGCCTTTAGCTTAAACACAGGAAAATATACCTACTTAAAAAAGAAATTGATTCGAGACGTACCTACTATAATTGTCCCTGTCATATCCCGACACAATAACATAACCATGAATAACATCAGATTTGTCATTCTGTTCAGCAAATTCGGACTAATTTGTGGTTGTAATCATAGAAAAGCGCGATCATGCAAACATATCCACAAAGATATCCTATATATATATTGTATTGTAATTCTAAAATTCTAAAATAAAATGACCAGTGCCTTGTATTTTAAAAATGAACTCTTCCGAGATTTTAAATAATATGCATAATATGGTAATCAACATAATAGGCCTTCAAAATTGTTCACTTAACTTTATGACGACACTGGTTTCTCTAGCTGTTGAGAAAGGAACACCGCACATTCAAAAAAATTGCATCTGGTACACTTCAAATGATTTTTTTTTTTAGAATTTACAGAGAATATCGTCATATTTTCCACTTTGATATGAAGCTAAGATTCTAAAATTCACTGTAAATTTTATATGTTTGTCAATTGATTCCAGGCAAGCTTATAAGGCAATGCTTTGTAAAGGTTATGTTTATCACAGTATTACAGGCAAGATTGTAGGGAACGCTTTGTTAATATGGTTGTGTACGTATCACATTAATTTTGCTTGATAAGCTAACATATGCCATTTATTTACATGTGTGCGACTTTTGATAAATTTTCCTAAAGTTAAAACTTCTTATGATTTTTATAGAGCTTATATTTGTCACATACATGTAACTAGTATTAAGAATGAGATTGTAAAGATTTTGTTATAAATCTTTCATTTTCTAAGAGTCTTAAGGTTTCTATTGTAAAAGTAAATTTTCTGTGAGTCTAAGGTTTCTATTGTAAAGCTTACATTTTCTAAAGGTCTAAGGATTCTATTGTAAAGCATACAATTTTTTGACAATCTAGGGTTTCTATTGTAAAACTTAACATTTTCTAAAGGTCTAAGATTTCTGTTGTAAAACTTACATTCTGTACATTATTACAGATGTGTGTTTAAGGTTTCTATTGTAAAGCTTACATTCTGTACATTATTACAGGTGAGTGTTTAAGGTTTCTGTTGTAAAGCTTACATTATGTACATTATTACAGGTGAAACCTAAGGTTTCTATTGTAAAGCTTACATTTTGTACATTATTACAGGTGAGTGTTTTAAGGTTTCCTTCGTTGGTCATCAGCGAAAAAGCTGGCAGAGAGACTGTCGAACAGTTTGCAGAACGTGCCTGGATAAATATTCCCCTGAAAGTCCCACCCGTCACAGTAACTGTTTTAAAAATATAAAAATAAAATAAAAAACTTAGTACAACTGCAATTTTCCATACATGTGTATTTATAGCCTACCAATTATAGAAAGTTGAATATTTATATCGCTTTGAAACGGAAATATTAATGCTGAAAGTTTTTTTAAACTCAAAAGAAAGTAAAAAACGAAGTTTAAAAAAATCGAAGAATACGAAAAATTGAAAATAAACCTTCTATGACGTCACCAGCCGTGTAAATTGTACTATTCATGGTCATTGTATAAGAAGACGCCCCTGTTTGTACGGCACCGCTATGCCCAGGGACCATAGTGTCACAGACGTTAGGAGGGGCCCCATTCGGGTAACCAATAACCACAACAATCAGAAGGTTGAGGCATAGAAGCAGCGACTGCATCTTGTGTATACTGTAAAAGAAAACAATAACAATATTTTAAATACATTATACTTCTGCAAAAATCATTGGAAGAAGGGGGAGTTCCAAGCTTAAGTTTTTATTAAATATTTATTAAAAGTATTCAATACATGTAGTCCAAAATTGACTTTGGAAACATCAAATACTAGTAGTGAAATTCCTGTTTGTAAAACAACCTCTTTCAGATAAAGGGAAACACTGTATTTATCATTTCTGGGTCTGCTGTTTAGATATTTTTTAACCAATCAATTGGACTCTTTATACAATTCATCTCTCTTTCACCTTGCAAAATGAAATCTGAAGATATCGAATAATTAAGTTTAAAACAAAACCATTGAAACAATACATATTGGGAGCAGAGCAAACGTAGACCTCTTAAAAGTCAGAGGTAGGATTAGGTACCTCGGAGAAGTAGCCTAGGCTTCCCCTGTCGACCGGTCACGCCCACCTTGTGCTCCTTGTCATGATCTGGCTGAGGAGAGAATCCATAGGCAATTCAGTGTGTAAATACTGATCTAACAATTAGTATGAAAAACGACAGTAGCATTCGACTTGTATTTGCTGACAAGGTCAATGTATCGAAAATAGAACTTGCTGAATGTTTACTTTAAAGGAGAGAGTTGATATTCTTGTTTCCTCAACTTGATAGTCAATGACTTGCCTCGTTTTATAACTATTTCAAAGGTAAAGCATGCTATTGCATCTGATCATTCTGAAGACTTCATATGCAGGTATATTTCTATATAAATAAGGGAAGTTGACAACAGAAAAGTTGAATCATCACGTTGATAGTTAAGTTTATTTGTTGAATTACCTTTGACGTCTTTTTGTAGGAAAATATTTCAATCTGAAACGTATGTGCCAGAATCTGATGTATTAGATTGTTTGGAGACTAGCTATACAATAGGTACATATTTCCATTCAGAAACTCAAGGTTCTTGTTACTAAAAACTTCACAGTTCTTGCACATACACTGAGAATGTATTTGACAAAATTAAATTCGTCTTTCGGATTTTTTATGAGTGAAATACACTTTATAAATTTTATTTCTAATTTTCACTCACACCTGTATTTTTTTCAATTATGTCTGAAATACATCATATCAAACCTGAGATTTTATTTTTAGATTAAAAAAGAATGTGACAATACTATAATACGTTATAACTTAATTAAAATACACCATCATCTTTGTCCTTTTGAAACTATCAAACTCTTGGTGAATTGATGTTGATTTATGTAAAAGAAAGACAGAGGTTGGTATTTTAAACTTGGATATCTTAAGCAAAAAAATATTTTGTACCCGGTATTTTTTACAAAAGGTTGTAAAGTTACCTATTTTGTGTTGGTTTGTAAAAACTAGAGGCATACGGACCTACAACAACTTTCCAACAAATGAATTTGGTTCTTGTTTTAAATCAGAGGCTATGAAATTCACAATTTTTGAAAGTGGCACCAGTGCTCATTATAACTATACACGTGACATGCTTACTTTGATTACTTAATACCCAGAGACAGAGCAGAGGAACAAAGAAATATGCATTTCAACAATATAATCAGAAGTATCCCGCAGGAACCCCTGACAATGGGGTCACACATTTCACAATTTTGCAAAATGCACCCTTGCTTATCATAATTGTTTGATTAATATGAACAAATGCAGATTTCAAAGCATTAATTCAGTTCAGTATATAATCAGAGCCCAGGCACCCCTGCCTAATTTAAGGACCTTGACATTCGCAATTCTGGAAAAAGGACCTTATGTATAAGCTTCCTCATCATAACTGTACTTAAATCATCAACATAATACACAGTAACAAAGGAGATTTTCAAAGAATTAATGCATTTTCACTACATACGAGTAATCATTAGAGCCCACCTTAACACCAGATCGCCAGACCCAGGGGCCATGAAATTCACAATATTGGAAGAGACACCTTTCTTTATCATACCTATGTTAATAGTTCATTGGTTTAATACCTAGGAGCATAAGAAAAGATTTTCAAAGAATTAATGCATATTCATTCTATAAGCAATGGAGCCCCTCCCTAACACCAGAACCCCTGACCCAGGGGCCATGAAATTCACAAGATTGGAAGAAGCAATCTTCCGCACCATAACTATGTACAAGGTTCGTTAGCTTAATACCAAGGAGTAGAGGAGAAGATTTTCAAAGAATTAATGCATTTTCAATATATACTGTATACAGGGTTATATTCGCCCCGTGTTATTTTCGCCCTTTTGAACCTGTGAACAATTTTGCCCCGTTTTAAATTCGCCCAGTCATAGTTCTGATAAAGAAATTATGAGGTGTAATTTGAATTCGCCCCGTTGTAAATTCGCCCTATGAAGGAAAGGGCGAAAGAGGCGAAAATAAAACGGGAGCGAAAATTTCCCTGTATACAGTAATCAATAGAGCCCCGCCCTAACACCAGAACATTTGACCCAGGGACCCTGAATTTCACATATTTGTATGAGAGCTCAATGCTGATTACAATCATGCTAACAGTTTGGCTGCTTGGTTGCCCAAGAGTAAAGAAGATTTTTCAAGATTTAATTAACTTTAGTGGTATTTGCCCATCCCCGCAGGCCCCAGGAGGGGAAGCAGGGGCCATGATTTCACAATTTTTACTCCACTTCATACATAGATGCTATATGCCAAAATTTGTTGAAATTGGTTTAGTGGTTTCAGAGAAGAAACTGAAAATGTTTAAATGTTAACCCACGACAGACGACGTACGAAAACATATAGCAAAAGGTCACCTGAGTAAGCTCAGATGACCTAAAAACGAACGTGCCATTTGTTCTGTATAGTCAAGAGATGAACTTCGGTCATCTTAATGACAGTTTATATTGAATTTTTTATACGTTTAATCTACACTACTTGGGAAGGCTTCTTTAAGGACCCTCTCTACACAAGTGCAAACTTTTTTTGGACATTGAGAAAATATTTTATTTAAAGGAGTTAATATTGAGTTTATTCATTTAATTTTCAATGTATGGTGCGTGGGGTTTACTCCCGGGAAAAATGTTCGAAGACAACACAGTATCAGTAAATAGAAATCACTATTAATTACTTCAACAGAAAAAATACATGTAAATAACACGTTCAGTTAATTTATCTTGGCCTTTTAAAATGAAAAGAATGCTTGAATTAATTACAAATTGAGTAATATATTGTACATTTGAAAGTTTTAGAATTTAGATCTAAGGGTAGATCACTCTAATTGCAGAAACATACCTTAGAATCAGAACTCTAGTGTGCAGTGTAGAGAAGGTTCTTAAAATATGATAATCATGATTTTGCTGTTCTTGAATATTTTTTAAAGATTCTCTCTCTCTCTCTCTCTCTCTCTCTCTCTCTCTCTCTCTCTCTCTCTCTCTCTATATATATATATATATATATATATATATATATATATATATATATATATATATATTAGAAAAAAAATGACAAGGTAACAATGTTAGTAAAACGTAATTACCGGACACTGTGCTATTTCTTTTCATTTTTGGATATATATATATATATATATATATATATATATATATATATATATATATATATATATATATATATATATATATATATATATATATATAAAAACTTTGATCCGCCATTATGACACTACCCAACCCTGGTTGCAGTATTAACAAATGTTATTCTACGTAACCTTAGGCTGTTTGCAAATCTCAAAATTGCTATTCTTGAGATGATTCTTTGAAGATAAGGTCTAACCCTACCTTTGGGAGATTAAATTACAAATAAGATGTAGATCTTGGGAAAAACAAATCAATCAAGTTGAAGTTGAACAAGAAGAAATACCAGATGTTTATTTTCATTTAAAATACATTCTATTAAGATGTATTTTGAAACATTTCATTATAATTTGTAGTGACTATATTAATCCAAATAGTATCTTGTAGTAGGAAAGAAGTGAATGTTCATGAATAAACACATGCACATTCTTATGATAGTTTTCAAACCAAAGAAGGCACTCTATACTTTCTAGGAAATTATGTCTTGCAATGGGCAATCAATTTGCAAATTTTGGCATAAAATTACTAGAAATTTAATTGAATTCCACGCTACTTTTTTTCTGAAAACTTAAAAAACAAAAAAGAATTTACCATTCAAACCTATTTTTATTTCTTAAAAGCACACTTTCAAAACTCTCTTAAAATTTACATTCATACATTTATTGTCAACTCAGAAGAGACTCCACCATATATTGTTAGCGAATGTAAGGAGATACTGATACTATAGAAGCCCTGCGTCACTGATACTATATAGAAGTCCTGTGTCACTGATACTATAGATCGAGGTCCTGCGTCACTGATATTATAGAGGTCCTGTGTCACTGATAACTGATATTAGAAGTCCTGCGTCACTTTGTTAAGCATCACTCTTAACCTTTTCGCCCTCCCCGCATGTTCAGTTTTACGTCAGAAGCCATAGAGATCTGGAAGGGCATGGACGAGGATGGGTTGGCGAGATTCATGAACCCAGAGGCAAGGAAAGAGTCGGGAGGGATTACTTCAATAAGCCCTAAAGTGGGGGGAAAAGAATAAATCTTGTTAACAAAATTTCAAGGAGAAAATTTCTTCACTTATAATTATATTTCGAAGATGACAAGTTATTTTAAGCAAATCGCATGAAATTTTATTTCAGTTTCAAGAAATCTTTTCTGTCAACTTATTCGTTTTTCTGAGTATGTAAAATTTTCATGTCGGTAAAAATTGGTCATTCAAAGTATGCATACCGAAAAAAAATGATAACATTATATACCTGGATGGAATGGTCTGTTGGGGAGAATTCCACCGCCAGTAGTTGTAGGTTGGGTGGTGGTGGTGGTGGTGGCGATGGTGGAAGAAGCCGGGGAGGGGACGGTGGATGTGGGAGGTCCCACGATACCTGTGGCGGTCAGTTGGAATACATTGTCCAGCCTTGCAGCCCTGCTGCAGAATTTTGCGATGGCTGGACTGATAGCCTCAAGTTGGTCAGAGGTCAATTTGTTAGCGGCTGCTACACTGTAAGCTGCTCTTGCACTAGTCTCTATTTCAACCATCTGTATGTTATAAAGAATTTTTTTTAAACCTTTCTAATAAAACTGATGATGATACTATGCATAAAAATATTTTGGACAAGCGCCTAATTGTTGACTTTCAAAGATTTTTACGAAGTAAGAAATATATATATTGATATGCCAACATAGAATTGTGTATTTAAAACTATACTACTTTGGTGCAAAACAGATTCAAGGATGGTAATATTTCAAAAAAAAAAGTTTTACCTACTTAAGTAGTGCCGTGGTTCTTTTTAAGGAATAAAACTGATAGAGAACTTATGAATTCCAGTTTTATGATCATTTTTTAAAACCTTTTTTTTCCCTTTTTGAATGATTAAAAGGAAAATATTTCCAAATACAAGTACTGAGTATATACCTGCTCCCTTCTGTCAAACTCATCCATAGCTTGCGTCATGTTAACCAAACTATCTCCTATAAAGCAGACTTCAACAGGTCGGGCTCGGAATATTCGGTCGGAGCCACCGAAAAATCCTGCAGGGGAATCGTTATCGGTAAAATCACCATACTCCAACATATCATCTACACCTTCGTCATCGGCGTCGGCTGGATCGTCTGCTGATTCACCTGGTAAGATCGGTCTGGCAGGGGGAACTCGGAACTTAAAACGGATTCCACATTTTCCCTAAAAAAAAAGAGGAGGAAACTAAATATTTACATCCAGTGTAATTTTCTGTATGAAACCCATTATAAATTTCTATAACACACGCAAAACTTTGTCACCGCGTGGTAGAATACACAGTAGGAACTACATGTATATGTATTTTCTATAATCTAGGAACACCAAAATGTACAATGTTTTGACTCAATTTGATTAAAAACTATAATCCTGTTAAATTAACGTAAAATAAGTGCGTTAAAATTTATTTTGTCACTTTTTTCCTCGCAATGTTTGCTTTATTTAACTTTGCAACGTCATTTAACGTCACAAACGTCTCTACGTCGATTAGTTACGGCGGTATTATAAAAGGGCGCTAAATTCACATTTATAATTAACGAAATAAGCAATTATGAAGAAGGAAAATAGAAAATGTAAATATACATGTAAGCAATGATTTCATATTTTTGGATGTCGTCGATCATTCGACGACATCTACAAATATGTATTCAATACTTAAATATCCTCGACTTGATTTGATATTTTTTGTATATTTTTTCTGTGTACATCTTATTGTTAAAAAACGAATAAACAAATACGTACCTTTGCAAAATCAAACATTGTGAGGTGATTGTCAAAGTCGGCATCGCTCAGTTGTCTGTCTCGAGATACCAGTATGGCCATCTGTTTGTTCATATGTACACGTGCAAATTCCTCTACATCCACCGCGACATTGGTGTTTTGTTCATCCAGATCAGTCATCCAGGAATATTTTTGGACCTGTCAGGATTTTTTTCAGAGTTCTTAAATTATCATCTATAGTGCTACACATATATTATCTCTTAGTTTTAAACAATTACAACAGAAGTGATCGAGAAATTAGTAAAGCTTAAATCTGAAAGTCTTCTTTCCTCAGTTTTATCATAAATGGGTTTTTTAATTTAAAATCGACGTTTGTTTTCTCGGTGAAAGAGCGAATGAAGAACCCCACATATAAGTTTAGACAGTAAAAATATCTTTTCATTAAAACTACAATGTTTGATTCTTTCTTTGACAAAGAAAATGCACGCGATGATAATTTATTGCGAATCTTTTTCAGGGTTTATATACGTATATCTAATCAATGTTAACTCACATTTCTGGTGGAGGGACGATCTGCACTTTCATTACTGTCTTCATTACTGTCACCCCCGGGACGACCGCGTCCCCTACCCCCGGGCCGCCTTCCTCGTCCCTGGCCCGGGCGCCCATGGATCTCCGCAAACCCCACAGAAAGGAGTAAAACAGTGAAAGTGAACGCGTACCTCATTTTTCTTCAATTTACTAATCAACTTCAAAACTATTAGCTTTATATACTGTCCGAAGGAAAATGTCACAAGCTCTTGCTTTATTTCAGTAGTGATTTCATGATCTTTGTAATGCAACAAAGGATGTTGCCATCCTGGTAATGAGTAAAAATTCCGTAATGCATGCGTTTATCATTTACATCCTCGAAGGATAAACAGGATCCTATATAGGTCGACAAGATTCGACTTGATCACGATTAGATATATTTTCCATTTTCTCTGTGTCACAATGAACACGTGGATTAATTAGATATAGAGAATAACTTCAATCAGGAAGAACTCTATAATCTAAATGTACTTTTATTTTCACCTACTAACATCTAGTATAATTAGATTTTGTGAAAAATAGCCATAAAAGGTAATGTATAAAAATCAATTGTATATAAATTTAAAAGGGTACTAAAATCCAGTAATGAGAACAAAATTCTCACCATCTTAATAATTTTGTGAAGTTAACCCAATAAATGGTTTTTTTACTGAATTCTTCCTATCCAGATCAATCACAATTAAATCTATGTAATTTATAAAATAAATTATCCTATTGTGTTAAACTGATTACACTGTGTTAGAAAACAACAAAGGCGATAGAAGAGGGGGCGTTGTCTACATTATTGCGTAAGTAGTTTATACTATAGTTAACAACCATGGGAATAATTCAAAGCATTGAATGCTTTGAAGAAAGCAATAAACAAATTTGACAAGCTTAAAAGGATGTATACCGTACAATATTGAAAAGGAACATTAATAAATAGCATAAATTAATGAAAACCATAGATAACAAATACTTTTTTTCAGTAACGGATATTCTATATAATCTTAGTGAACAAGTTTATTTTGATTTAAAACACGTTCTATATATTAAGATGCATTTTGAAACATTTCAGTATAGTTTGTAGTGACTATACTAATCCAAATAGTACCTTGTAGTAGTTTTAGAAAGTAGTGAATGTACATGCATATACACGTGCACGTTCTTATATCAGTTTTCAAACCAAAGAAGGCACTCTATACATTCTAGGAAATTATGTCTTGCAATGGGCAATCAATTGGCAATTTTTGGCACAAAATTTATAGAAACACTACTTTTTTCTGAAAACTTAAAAAACGAAACAAAACTTTACCATTCAAACCTATTTTTATTGCTTTAAACCTCTCTCTCAATTTTTTCTTAAAATTTACATTCATACATTTACTGTCAACTCAGATGAGGCTCCTTCATCTATTGTTAGCGAATGAAAGGAGTTATTGATACTACAGAGGTCCTGCAACACTGATACTATAGAAGTCCTGCAACACTGATATTATAGAAGTCCTGCATCACTGATACTATAGAAGTCCTGCATCACTGATACTATAGAAGTCCTGAGTCTCTTTGTTAAGTATCAATCAACCTTTTCGCCCTCCCCTCATGTTCAGTTGAACGTCAGAAGCCAAAGAGATCTGGAAGGGCATGGACGAGGATGGGTTGGCTAGATTCATGAACCCAGAAGCAAGGAAGGAGTCGGGAGGGTTCACTTCAATAAGCCCTAAAGTGGGGGGAAAAATAAATCTTGTTAAAAAAAAAAATTAAGGGGGTAATTTCTTCACTCATAAACATTTTTTAAAGATGACAAGTACTTAAAATCACATGAAATTTTATTTCAGTTTCAAGAATATTTTTCTCAATCTCGTCATTAAAAATGATTATGTGAAATTTTCATACCGGTGAAAATTGACAATTCAAAGTATGCATACCATAAAATTGACAACATTATTTACCTGGATGGAATGGTCTGTTGGGAAGAATGCCACCACCAGTAGTTGTAGGTTGGGTGGTAGTGGTGGTAGGTTGGGTGGTAGTGGTGGTGGTGGTGGTGGTGGTGGAAGTTGAAGAAGCCGGGGAGGGGACGGTGGATGTGGAAGGTCCCACAATTCCTGTGGCGGTCAGTTGGAATACGTTGTCCAGCTTTGCAGCCCTACAGCAGAATTTTGCGATGGCTGGACTGATAGCATTCAGTTGGTCAGAGCTCAATTTGTTAGCGGCTGCTACACTGTAAGCTGCTCTTGCGCTAGTTTCTATTTCAACCATCTGTATAGAATAAAGAATTTTTTAAAACATTTCTAATTAAATGATGATGAAACTATGCATAATATTTTGGACAAGCAGAATCACCTTGTAGACTTTCAAAGATTTCACAAAGTAAGAAATTGACGTGTCATCTTAGAATTGCGTATTGAGAACTATATTATGTTGGTGCTAAACAGATCCAAGTATGGCATTTTTTCAAAAAAAATAGAGGACCTATCGATTCTATTCTTTATTATCATTTATTATAACTTTTAGTTTCCTTTTTGAATGATTAACGAGATACCTGTTGCCTTCTGTCAAACTCCTCCATGGCTTGCGTCATGTTAACCAAACTGTCTCCTATAAAGCAGACATCAACAGGTCGGGATCGGAATAACCGGTTGAAACGACCACCGAAAAATCCTGCAGGATAGTCCTTATCGGCAAAATCACCATCCTCCAACATATCCTCTACACCTTTGTCATCAGCGTCGGCTGGATCGTCTGCTGATTCACCAGGTAAGATCGGACTGGCAGGGGGAACTCGGAACTTAAAACGGATTCCTAATTTTCCCTTGGAGATCAAAGATGACAAAACTGAAGATACACTGTATCATTGGTGGAAAATTAATTCAAAAGAGGAGATCTAGACACGGACGGGATCAGAAACTGTTACTTTGAAATGTTCTAATAAATGACACTGTTTGAAACCAAAACTGTTTTGTATTATTGGCAAAAAAGAGCAATGTTGTCAGAGGAGTGTTTTATCTAGAAATGAAAGCTAAACTTAAAGATGATGCTCCTCGACTAGATTTGATAGTTTTTTGAATATATTTTTCTGTGTAGTTTCTAAAAAACACAATTGCTAAAGAAACAAATATACAAATACATACTGTTGCAAAATCAAACATTGTGCGGTGTTTGTCAAAGTCGGCATCGCTCAGTTGTCTGTCTCTAGATACCAGTACGGCCAACTGTTTGTTCAAATGCACACGGGCAAATTCCTCTACATCAACCGCGACATTGGTGTTTTGTTCATCCAGATCAGTCATCCAGGAATACTTTTGGACCTGTCAGGATTTTAATTTTTAAGAGTTATATATTATCGTTTATATTACTTCACATTTTTATTACCTTTTAGAATATTTTATAATCATAAAATACTTACAATAGAAGTAGAGAAATTGCAGAAAAGCTTACGTCTGAAAGTATCCTTTAAATTTATTTAAATTTAAAATAAACGTGTTTTTTCTCGATAAAAGAGTATATGAAGGACTCCACATATTAATTAATTATGTTGAGAAGAGAACTTATTGTAATTCTATTTAGGATTTCTTTGTCCAAACAATGTTAACTCACGTTTCTGTTTCTGGTGGAGGGACGACTTTCATTGCTGTCTTCATTACTGTCACCCCCGGGACGACCGCGTCCCCTACCCCCAGGGCGTCTTCCTCGTCCCCGGCCTGGGCGACCAAGGATCTCCGCAAACCCCACAAAAAGGAGTAAAACAGTGAAAGTGAACGCGTACCTCATTTTTCCTCAATTTACTAATTAATCTCAATACTATAAGCTTTATATAGGGACCGAAGGAAAATGTTACGAGCTCTTGCACTGTTTCAGTAGCGATATCATGATCTTTCTAATGCAACCGAGGAAGTTGCCATCCTGGTAATGATAAAAAATTCCATAACACTTGCGTTTATCTTTTACACCCTCGAATGATAAACAGGATCATACATAGGTCGACAACATATGAATTTATCACGATTTTCTCTGTGTCACAATGAACACTTGGATAAATTAAATATAGAGAATAACTCCAATCAGGAAGAACTCTATAATTTTAATGTACTTTTAGTTCATCTACTTCATGTACATGTATAGTATATTTAGATTTTGTGAAGAATAGCCATAAAAAGGTAACTTTATATAAATCAATTATACATATATGACTCCATATCCTTTTTTTATCATTTTGAGAGCGTTTTTCCCATAAAAACAGCAAACCTCGAAAATAGATAAGCAAATTAAACAAACAACTATCAGAACAAAAACTAAAATGATTAACGAAAACAAAAACGACAACAAAATTAGAAACTTTGCAAAAACATTCTGAACCAACATATATGTTCTTAAAGTTTTAAAAGTTATTATTTTTAAAGGAAAATTAGAAAAAAGAAAGTATGCCCCTTCTAAAATTTTATAATTTTTTCAAATTTATTCATTTTTAATTCTTCGTTATGATCATGGTAATACTATGATCCATCAGCGTTTACAAACAACAAAATGATTCAGAGACACACTATTTGATCTGAAATGCTCACTTTAGCCATTACTTCAGGTGGACCTGAAAACACTCACTGAGTTTGTTAAATTATATTTTTTTAAATACTTTAATTTTCCTCAAGGACTGGTGTGTCCTGATTTTTATTTTAAAAATATTGTTCCTATTCAAGTCCTTTGACTATACACTCCTCATGATAAATATAGGTATACATGTACTCGATTCACATTTGAACGTATTCACTAACAAAGCAATCTTATAGCAAATTGCATTTCAAAGGAACTATATATGCGTATATAGTTTTAAAAATCGTGACTTTTTCATTTTTCTTTATTTTTTGTTCATTTTAAATGTCTTTGCCTTGTTAATTTGTACAAAGAATTTTGTGTATAGTCTATATCTTTTCTTTATTTCCTTAAACAATAAGAATTTATAGGGTAAGACAGTTTTGATGTCATTGTCCAGGTCAATATCTTCCTTTTCTTAATTTCGAGAAAATTAACAAGCCCATTCGTACCTAAAACATTTAGGTACATTTGTACCTTGTGTCCTTTTCGTGCTCAAGCACTGCTTTGCTTGACGGGAAACGCAAGATTATAATATAAACTCACAAAAACACATCTTATTTAATGTTTTCTTTTGAATGCGATTTGAAAGCAAATAAAAAAAATATTGGGAAAAAATTTAAAAGAGTACCAAAATCCAGTAATGAGAATGAAAGAAAAATCTCACTATCTTAATAAAAATATAGTGAAATTTAACTAATACGTAAATAGGTTTTTTTTTATTGAATTCTTCCTTTTCAAATCAAATCACAATTAAATCTATGTATCTTATAAAATAAATTATCCTCTTGTGTAAAACCGATTACACTATGTCGAGAGAACAATAAAGGTGACAAAGGAGGGGGCGTTGTCTATCTTAGTGCGTACGTAGTTTATACTATATTTAACAACCATGGGAAAAATGCAAAACATTGAATACCTTGAAGAATGCATAGAACAAAAGTGACAAGTTTAAGAGGATGTGTACCGTACAATATCGAAAAAGAACATTAATAAAGAGCTTAAAATAATGAATAACATAAATAACAAATAATTATTTTCAGTAACATATATTCTATAGAATCTCAGTAAACAGGATTTTATGTATGAAACCCACCTTACCGTATAGGAATTTCAAACCTTGAAAAAAGGGCATAGACAAGAACAATTTTTCTGACAACTGAAATGCTGTGTAATATAACCTGTCTTGAACATACATACCTCTCGTTCTTCAATGCTTCTTTTCTCATTTAGAAAAAACGCATCCAGATTTCACGCATTCGTTTTCCTGTGCAGTAACAAATTTCTTTTAATGTTTCCTTACTCTTACATTCAAAGGACATGAAATTGTAAAGGTTCCTGTGAAGCAAAAGAATTTTGAGACGGAAAAGTGGACAATGCCTGGAGCAATGATTGCATTGTCATTTGACCGTGACATAAAAATCATGCACAATAAACAGATATGATTTTCACGGTGACCAAACAATCCCCAGGCAATCTGTAATTAAACGGCCATGACTAAACACATACTCCCAAGGTTTTATTTCACTATGAAAGATATAAAGATATTATTATATTCAATTTTGTTGTGTTCAAAGCAACATACAGTGGGTTTTTTCCACTTGCTCTCTCACATCATCCTTGAACATAACAGAGTAATGTACACTTTTAATTGGCAAATGTATTTAACACAATACTAAGCGCATTAACCACCATAAATACAGGATATATAGCACGCATTTACCTAAAAAGTGAGATAGAACAAATATGCAAATGAAAACGTTCTGATATCAAATGAGCATCTAACTTGTCACCAACAGAGGCTAAATTAAGTTTATGTAGATATTATGGACATCCACAATGACATAGCAAAAGAAGTAAAAAAAAAAAAAAAAAAAAAAAAGAACCAAAGTTTCTTAACAGGGCCTGGGATTGTGATAAAATTAATGCAGGAAATGTGAAAGAAACCAAAATTTCTTCCTGATACCATGCCAAAAATTAGGCAGACAAAAACAGCACCAGAATAGTGGAATGAATTTCTCGACCTAGTAGTACTTTATATACTACCATATATAGCTATCTATGGAAGGTTACGTGACTGTAGGTTGAGAAAAATTGTTTAATTGTAGGTACATGTCTTGTTTACAAAACAAATTGTATTCAGGAACGTGAAGTTACACACTCAGTATAACCCAGATTTTTATAAGACATTCTAGAACAGAAAAATGAAAAGGATTATAACGCCGTGTTCCAACTTCATCAGTTTTGCCAAATGTATTATGAATACCAAAGCAGTTTCGCAAAAAATCTGATTTCTGCATAGAATTACATTTAAGGTTGTTCGGAAAGTTGAATTCGTGGACCCCGGTCATATCTTTTTTCTTTAATGTTATATGCTATCTAAATTTGGTAGAAATATTTTTTTAATAAATTCTTTTTTTTTCAAATTATAATTTTTTCAAACCTATGCAGAATTAAAAACTGCAAAAATTGGATCACTGAGCAGGTCAAAATTTAGTAATTCACAAACAACACAATAAATGAACATGATAATGTTTATAGTCATATTCTCAGTAAAATGGAGCATAAACGAAAAACATCCTAGACTTTTAACTCAAGAAGTTACATCATTGTTCATATTCCAAACTATGGATTAATATTTTGCTTCTTTGAAAAGAAATCATTTTGAGAAGATAGGAAGTCCTCATTTAACGCGACAAAAATAATGACGTTGAACGTCACGGAGCAGATAACACTGCAATTTTATGTTAATACTCGGGAAAAATCCTGAATAAACTCTAAATATGTTAAAGGAATAAAAAAAAAGTCATATATAAGTAAGTCATATAATTATACGTTTAAAAATTGTACATGCGGTATTTGTGTCATGTTGTAAATTTTGAAGCTACCACTTGGTAAAATTTACAACATGACTTTTGAGTGACAGACACTGTATCGGACGAAGACAATTTGAGAAGGAACAGTTTATCCGGAAAATCTGAACAAAAAATTGGAAAACATAGGCGTTTCAGAATTGCTGTTTTGTGAAAGCACAGTTAAGTGGTAAACGACATTAAAAATTGAGAAAGAAAATTATATAACGAGAACAATTGTTAGAAAAACAAATGTCAAGTGCTAGAAAAGTATATAGTAAGTGATTATTGAACTATATTTTGTGAAGTGTTTAGGGTTAGTATTTTTATAAAAATTCTTTTTTTTTTTTTTTTTTTTTTTTTTTTTTTTTTTTTTTTAACACATGAAATTGTGTTTACTTTAAATTTCTGTTTTTGACGTTTCGACAATTTGTCTGAACTCATTTTAAGGAAGAGGCAACAATAATATAAAACAGCAGATTTTTTGCCATTTGATATTTTGAAATTTGTATTAAATACTCATGGATATGTTCATTTTGAAATGATATTAAAACTTTGATTTTTATCAATTTTACAGTGGAAAAGTAGAGAGTTGCAACAATTTTGAGTCTTGCTTTCGTAAAATTGAATTTCATTTCAAAATTAATTGACCGATAAATTAATCAAGACATCAATTATATTTTAATTGGAAATTATGAAATAATTTTATGAATTCAAATTCCACGAAAAGCTGCACTATTTCAGTGAGGATTCTCAATGCAACAACGTCACATTTTAATTGCAACGTTACATACTCTATTGTGACCTTACCTTAATGATTAAAAAACGTGATTTGAACAAAATTCAAACTACATCATAAGTTTCTAGATAGACTACATATATATCTCCGCTGCTGTAAAATTTTCCATGAGGTATTGATTTGTAGAAACTTAAGTGTACTAAGTATTTAAGATTAATTGATTTCTCTAACAGATGCGTCGTCTTTTTGCCACAGGGGTTCTAAGGAAGAAGAACCTGGGTTTGTATTTACCATTTATCATCTCCCTGTACACTTTTCCATGCAAATGAGAGATGCTTTCTCCACAATATCCCAGAAATTATGAAAAAGGGTCAAACACCATGAAGAAAATGATAAAAAGATAATGTTTTCAATCATTTATTACAAAAATAGAAAAAAAACCAAACAAACAAACAAACAACACACTTCCACATATGAAATCCAAAATATGTTGTCACCGGTTTCAAGCTTTGTCAAGAAATATTTGTATAATTACTTATTCTTAACATCATTCTTTTGAAATGTTCCTTTTTAGGGGTTGAATATGATTCCGGAAGTGATATTGATGTTGAAAGGCACATTAAGCTCTGGCTGAGATGGGTCAATTTGTCCACTGACCTTGTATGACTGGGTCACTTGGGCCACAGAACCTAAAGAAAAAAATAGCAGTTTTAAATGTTTTGTGATCTTTAAAAATAATTCTTAAAAAGAGTAGAAAGATGTAGATAATTTCTTTAATACTCACTGGTTTTCATAAGGTAAGCGTTTCCCTTGTTGATGGCTTTAGTACAGAAAGCAGTGGTAAACCAGCCATTACTAGATAGGGAGGAGTGAATGGTCAGTTTATCAGCCACCTCAACAAAGCGGGTCAAGGCCTCCCCAGTCTCAATTTCTCCAGCCTGAAATTTACAACTGATATCTGAGCTACATATGTATCTTGATAAGTTATAATCTGGACAAGAGTGAATATTCATCATACATGGGCATTACGCAACAAATAGTAACAAATGTTTTAGACTATATTAAATGTAATTTAAGAATTTCGACACATATGCATCAGACCAGTTTAATATTAATCAGAATGACCTATATCTTTGCTCAAGTTATAGTTTTAATTAACGTTTCCTCCATTTCAATAAAATTTCATAGTTTGATTTGTGTGGAATGTATATAAAGAATATATCTGCTAAAAACTAAACAAGTCTTAACAAAAGTTAATAAGAATCCAATGATTAAGAGTTTATTTTATCTACAGGAGACTCACGTCGCCTCTGTTGATGAGCTCTCCAGTGATCTCTTCTTCCACGGCGTTGCTGTCCATAACGAAGCAGACCGGCGTAGACGTGGTTGCCACGGGGACGTGGAATCGGATCGCCATTTTGTTCTGAAAATTTATCCAAGACTTGTGTTGGCGCATTTTTACTTAATGGTTATCCATATATATAATAAGCATGCAAATATAAACTGCCTGTCATTCGTTTTAATATTACATGAAAATTAGTGTACGCTGTGATACAAATTAAATGACTATTACAAAGATATTTTTTTACCTTAAGATGTTTTTTTTTTTTAAATAAATCAAATGAGGATAAAGAGGGGACTAATTTGTGAAAAAAAAAAGAAATTCATGGTAAGTGGAGCTATTTTTATCTGTTGAATACGTTTAAAACAATACAGTAGTTCTATAATCTTACCCTGTTGATGTCATACTGAGTTTGGGATGTAAAATAGCCAGCGTTAGTCAGACTGGTATCGGTGGAGGCAATGCGGGCTATCTTGAACAATGGATAGTATCGGGCACACTCATTGACCAGCTGATCGTTCGGTAAATTCGTTTCCCAGGAGTAACTCTGAGACTACAAAAATCAAAAATCAATTTTATTTTCATGCAGAATGAAATTTGGTATCGGCCAAAATGAAGAGCCCTTGAATTACAGTTATTCTTACAAGCACTTTACATTCTGCGTGCCTTGTTTTTACTGCTAGAATGAAGAAAATCAAAATTGAACAAATTAAAGGATGTACATGTATTTCATTTAATACCAATATAACTCATATTTTACATAATTATGTATGCAATGCAACAATGATATTAATTTAATTTTAATATCAAAATATTGATGGACAACTTACATGGTAAAAGGCATTAGCAGGAACAAATACTGCAAGCAGAAGACAGCTCAGAACATGTGTTGCCATATTGTTTATACATTAAAATAGTCTTAGCTTTCAATTGCCAGTCAAAACCAATTTAAATTTTGAAATAAAAGTGCATGTCTTATATAGTAAATTTTAATTAATCCTCTTGGTTAATGATTTATAACAAAGATATAATTGCACCATGAGTCACACAACTCGCCGGCGTTTTTATGAAGATGAGATTCAATTCATGATCGTTGACCAGGATCTGTTTATGTTCAGTCACCCTATACCCCTATTTCCATAGTTAATAAACAATATCCTTGATATTTGGTAATCCATTACCTATAAATGGTTTGATAGTTGATAATTCATTCACGAATCTCAATAAGGATAGCTGTCTCTGACGTCATTGTCACAGATTTAGACGTCAAAAATAAATGAATAAATAAAATTTTATGAAAGAACCCCCCCCCCCAAAAAAAAATATCAAATTAAAATTTTGGAGAAAAAAAATGAATTTTAATTCTTAAGGTCAGGGGACACGTTATTCAAATATATGTTTCAAATTGTGGATCTTTGTAATGTAAGCAAATATTTAACATTTTAATCACCTTCTGATTTCTAAACCGATTTTTAATTGATTGTCTTTAAAATTAGAAGCACTAAAAAATGTGAAATTGACAAATTATTTTTTTTTTCTCAAAAGGGTTATATAGGAAACAAAATTATCTGATATCTTGCACAAATGCCTGGTAAGGTATCTCGATTTTTGGTGACCTTTGAGCTTGCATATTATTGTTCGTTGTCTCCATATATTTCATGAATAACCCGTTTTTGTTACTGATTATTTCGTCATAATTATACACATATATAATTTATATATATATATATATATATATATATATATATATATATATATATATATATATATATATATATTATCTCCTCCAAAGTTCAAAGTAACAATCATACTCTTTATGAAGCTCGTTTGTAACCATTAAATCATACATGTACGATAAACGACGATTAAAATAAATTCCAGAATATTTGTACTGGATCAAATGAGTATATAATCCACCAGGCTCTGGGGCCATAAACTGAGAGGAGCTCACTTTTGTTCTAAGCCACACGTTTCAACTGTACACTCCTTTTTTGAAAGTCTCAGTTTACAGGAAATAATGAGATCTGTGCTGATAATATTCTTCATTTTCACAGTCCTTTATTTCCCAGGCAGGGATTTAACTCAACTTTAATGCAATGTTGTCTCTTCTAATTTTAAACTTTATATGTTACCATCATGTTAAAAAGACATTTTTTTCTTTTACAGGTTGTTTTGGACGCAAGTATTTTATACTTAACAACAACGTCCCAGGAGCCATCTTTGTGGGCTGGCAGATGAATTCTATCAAATCTGATTCCATTGCAAAGCTATCCAAAATCCAGGACTCCACCTCCCCAATCCTCAGGCCACTAAAACAGGACCAGTTTAGCTTCGACATGGAATTGTGTGATATCATCAGCATCTCGAATGGAACCTTTGATGTTGTTTTAGAAGAACGTTGGGATTTAAAAGGAACTCCCAAAACAGGTACTGCATGTACATCATATTTGTATGCTGGCGAATTTTATCATTTTGCATTGCAATATGTCCATGAAATTGCTATTTTTGATGGTTTTGATTTTCGTTGTTTTCGTGGTGTGAAATGAAACAACAATTTATATCCTCAACTACATACTTTATAAATAATGTACTCAATGTTTTAAACTGAAATTGAGCAAATGTGTCCATTTTTTTTCTCTTTCGAAAAATAATGCGAAATCTGAATAGTTTGTGACGTCACAAAAACAAAAATATTATCAACAACCTACTTTGAAATTATAAAAAAAAAAATTAATTTAGATTACTCATACAATATAATCATACAATTCAGTACGTTTCAAGAAATGCTTAATATTTGACTTTTGTGGGGGCAAAAATAAGTAATAAACCTCATGTACCGGGTAGTTCTTTCCTGACAGTGTTCATTTATGTATGGTTTACAGTATGTTCGTCGTGAAAACACATGATAATATATGCATATTAGCCGCTATGCTGAAGTAGTATTACTCCTTATTTGCCCAAAACATCACGCACAATACTTCTGATGCTATTATGAATTATAAAGCCCACGTAAATGAAGCTATTGAGAGCCTAATGCATCAAGATCTACAAACTGTGACCGAAACAGATATGTTTGTAAATCATATTGTTGACATTCTCTTGGACTCTGCAAAAAGTTTTCAGGCCTCAACCGCATACACGACCAGGTATGTTACACCGACGAACGCAGACTGCGCCGTATTGCGAGTGCAGAAGGACGCCCGCGGGGCATGATCCACAATTCATACAGGAACTATAAGCGTGCCAAGAGACAATTCCGTACTGCCCTGGACTTGGAGTACGAACGGCACATGAAAGACGTCTATCATGATCTTGACTCCGCAGCTGAGTGTGACATTCGTCTTTTTTGGAAGCTGGTGAAGAGGCAAAAAAAGAGAACATCGCGGACCTACCCCGAAATACATGGAGAAGATGGAAGTATTTATGATGACCCTGTGAGTGTATCTGAAGCCTTCGCAAGTTACTACGAACAAATTTACACCCCGTCAGAAGACGATGCATTTGATGAAGAATTCCGATTGTATATTGAGAACAGCTATAAGCACATTGAAGAAGAATGTTCAAAGATGTCTGGAGATATCCCCGGTGGTCCTATTACTGCAGAAGAAATATCACGTCTAGTTAGCCAACTCAAAAGAAGAAAAGCTCCGGGTCCTGACCAAATAACATACGAACACATAATTTTCGGTGGGAGCAAGTTATGTCAATGTCTTGCAAAAGTTTTTAATGCTGCAATACTACATGGGAAGATACCTCATGCCTGGAAGCAAGGATTTATAGTTCCCTTATACAAAGGAGGAGACAAACCTAAAACATCTCCAAATAGCTTCAGACCGGTTGCCTTACTGTCATGTTTTCTAAAAATCTTTGAAAGCATAATTAACCTTAGAATTAAGAACCATATCCTTTGTAACCTTTCCTTTCCTAATAAGCAACAACAAGGGTTTCAAGAAAAATTAGGCTGTTTAACCGCTTCATTTAATTTACAAGAAACCATATATTATTATTTGGAACAAGGAAGTAATGTTTATGTAAGTTTCTTAGATAGCTCAAAAGCATTCGATACTGTTTGGAGACATGGTCTTCTTTACAAGTTGTACAATTTAGGTGTAACGGACAGACTTTGGTCTATTATTAATGATTGTCATTATAAAACGTCAAGTGCTGTAATTGTTAACCAAACGCAATTGGTTCTATTTGTTAGACAGGGTGGTGTTTGATTTTTGTACTTAGTATTTATTGATGAATTGATTAATACCTTAGAACAATCATCAGCATGTACGAAATTACTCAGTGTTGCTAGCAATTGTCCCTCACTGGCAGATGACATTTCATGTATAGGCTTAACACCTAACTCTCTACAAATCATGTTAAATATCGCATTTGAATATTCCCGAAAATGGCGCTTTAAATTCAACGCATCCAAATCCTGTATTCTGAGATTCCGAGCCAAAGGCAATAAAGTTAACCAGCAACACGTTTGGACTTTAGGTGATGTTCCTATTCCCTGTCTGGATTCCTGCAATCATTTAGGAATAATTCTTAACCGAAACTGCTCCTTAACAGACCGAATAAATGCTGCCTGCAGGAAAGGAAGAAACTCCTTTTATGCTCTCACAGACATTGGATTGTCCTCTAACCTTAGTCCATCTTTACAAATCGGTGAAATATTGTATGTGGAATAACTTGTCAGTAACAGATTCCCAACGCCTTCATGTTTTCCAACATTCTATATGTAAGTCCTCACAGAATCTTCCACGCCAAACTAGATCCGATCTGTGAAAGCCTCTTCAACGTCCTTCCAATAAGTGCCGAGATAGACAATCTTTGCCGTATAACTGCAATAGTTTACCAAAGAAAATATTTTTAGTTCGTTATTTTCCTTCTTTGCTAACCTTAGCAATTGCCAACAAGGATTTGTTCCAGATGCCATTAACTTACTGTGTGCATATGATCTTCTTCATATCTTGTACGAATGGGTAGCTGACGGCATTTTTCCTTCCAAGATAACTTGGAGAAACATTGTAAGATCTTCAACCAGCAGAAAACAGAAGGAGCTTAGACAATGTCGTATGGCGAAGAGCACTGACTTCTCTAGGTTTCTTGCAGTCTTCAGTGATAACGACATGAAATTCGTTTATACAAATTCATACCGTAGATCTGGAAATTTTTACTGTAGATAAATTTTTAGCAAATTTGCGAGTTCATTGCATTCGCAAAAATATTTTTATTTAAAAATATTACCCATAAGAAAATGTAAACAAAGCAGTGGTCATTTGCAAAATTTTGAAACGTAAAAATTAATCAACAGCATTTTGACCGAAATTCGCAAAATAAAATCGACGTAAAAATTTCCAGATTTACGGTATGCAAACTCCTTTCTGATCCGCCGCGTGACTCAGTGGATATCTGTCAATTCTGTGGGACTGCATTCTGTGATCTGTTTGTCCATGTTAGCTGTTCGTGCCCCATCACTTCGGATATCCGGAACAACTGGTGGAATGACATCATAAACTCCTTCTGTATTGAACTTTCAGCTGAACTATGTGCGCTCACCGAAGAAGATCTGTATGTCGTACTCCTTGGTCGCGCTCCAAGCACCAGGATAGCAAAACATGACGTTGAAAATTTCCATGTAAGAAACTTCCGACTTATACGAGATGCATCGGCACAGTACTACAGGGCGATGCATCAACAAATGCCAGTAAGGGACAATTGACAAATTTCCTCTTGTATGAAGTAATACGTTGTATATAATCATCAACTATTTTTTTTCACTTTCGTTTTCTTTTTGTTTGATTTTTTTTTTTTTCTTCTTCTAACTTTGTACATGTATACTGATTAGTTGATTTTGATCTAATTGATTTTGATCTAATTGTGAAATAATCTCATATTATGAGGAAATAAAGATTGAATGAATGACAGAGTAATGCCCCCTTTGACTTAGAAAAATTCCAATTAATTGCACTTTCCATTCACTTTCTTCACAGCGGTTGCACATACTGATATGAAATTTGGTATACAGCAGGCATGGGGTAATCGTAATCGATTGTAATGATTACTTTTTTCCAAGTAATGGACAGTAATCTGTAATCGAAGAGATTTTCGATTACTTGTATTGTAATCTTAATTTAATCGATTACAGCTAAAATTTCCAATGTAATTATAATTACTTTTTCGATTACTTTCAATTACTTTATACATGTCATATACATACACATCTACTTTATACATGAAAGTTATTTTTGTACAATCATTTCCAGTCAGTCAAACATAAATATTATATACAAACCACCCAGTGATTTTCCTAACTTTTATAATCATAACTTGAAATGTTCACAATAAAATTTACATTATAGACATACTAGTCTAGTCCTTTTTTTGCCCCCTGCTTTTGCGAAAGCGAGGGGACATTAAATCTCATTCTTCTGTCCGTCTGTCTGTCTGTCCGTCTAGCTGTCAGTCTGTCCGTCCGTCACAAAAACTTTAACCTTGCCCATAACTTTTGATTCAGTGGAGTTTTGACTTTCATATTTCATATGTGTATTTCTTTTGACAAGACCTTTCTTGGGTACCACCAAATTTGACCTTGACCTTGGAGTTTGACCCACTTTTACACAAAACATTCCAAACTTTTACTTTGGCCATAACTTTTGAATGGTAGGTACTAGGACTTTCATATTTCACATATGTATTTTTTGTAGCAAGACCTTTTATTGGATACCAACAACTTTGACCTTGACCTTGGAGATTTCCGTACTTATGAAAAAACTTGAACCTTGACCATAATTTTTGAATGGTAAGGCTTTCATACTTCATATATATAATTATTGTGAGAAGACCTTTCATTGAATACCAAGAACTTTGCCCCTTGGACCTTGACCTTGGAGTTTGACCTACTTTTCAAAAACTTTGACCTTGACCACAACTTTTGAACAGTAGATACCAGGACTTTCATATTTCACATATGTATACTTTATTGGAAGACCTTTCATTTGATACCAACAACCTTGACCTTTTGACCTTGACCTTGGAGATTTTTTGTACTTATGAGAAAACTTTAACCTTGACCATAACTTTTGAAGGGTAAGGGCTAGGGATTTCATACTTCACTTATGTAATCCTTTGAGAAGACTTTTCATTGGATACCAAGAACGTTAACCCTTTTACCTTGACCTTGGAGTTCAGTGATAATTTCTAAATAGATGACTTATGATAGGGCGCTCATATTAGACACAAAATGTCATAAAAAATGACATCTCGCCCAAAAAGACACCGAAAGCGGGGGACCACAATTCTTTGAATTTGCTTGTTCATATTTTAGATGTTGATTAGCTTTTCTAACAGAAAAAAATATAGAACAAAATTAATAGATTCGTGTACTTTTATATAAATACAAATTATTAATCGATTACATTTTTCAGTAATCGTGCCCATGTCTGGTATACAGATTTATCACAAGAATATCTAGATCAAGTTCTGTTTTTGGGTACGATCAAGCCATTTTTGACGGAGTTATCTCCTTGGACCTAGAAAAATTCCAATTATTTGGAGGGGGATACGTGTTTTACAAATATCTCTTGTTTAAATATAAAGAAAACAAACACCAAAATCGGAGATTTTTCGGAAATACGGCCAATTAGAGGCATGTGCTGAATCTGAAATAAACGCCACACTGAAAAAAATAACCAGTGAAAATCACTGGGAAGACTAGTATATTTACTGTCCATACAATCACTACCTCAAAAGTAGTTTTACTAGGTATTGGGTAGATTTACTAGACAACATTTGTAAATCTAAGAACTTATAAGTAACTTTCACTAGGTATTTAAGTATCTTTACGACCACTGTTCCACTTTTCACTATCTTAGGCTAGCTAGTACACGGAATGATTACTAATCACGAAGAACGCTTTACTTGACACACTAGTTAAATCAACTAGGTAATTCTCTCCGTGCATTACTACTAAGATTAGGAGTATAATCATTGCTAAAAACAAATTTTGAATAAATTTTTGATAGATAATATAAGGTTTTGATCTGAAATATTTAATAGCAACAGAAATATACATAACTGTTATATAAACATTTTTGAACAGATGATCTCTTTCCTATTGATGTTTTTAAAGCATATCTAATTTTTTTAAGGAGTTTTGTTTCAGTGCTACAAGAGACCAGAAGATTCCGCAAACCTGATAGAATTTTTGACGATCTTGACGACAAATACGGTATGTTTGATTTCAACTAATAATATATTCTGTCAAACATGTTTCTTTAGTAAAATTAAATTAAAAAAACAACCCTGACCCTAACCCCCAAAAACAAAAATTTTAAAAATAATATAAAAGTTTGAAGTAAGTTTATCACTTAAATTGTTCATGTGTATTGAAAAGAATGGAAAATTTATTTATTCTTATTCGTCTTCTACATGTTCATTTGATTTCTTTGTAGGTATATGAGCAGTTGTATAAGAACAAAATTTCAATGTCTACATAAATTCACGGCAGGGAACACATCTTCGGGGACTGACTTTTTTAAAGTTAACGGAACTCTGTATCAAGGAATTACAGCAATAAAGTTTTGTCTCTGTCTTTATATACATGTACAAGTACATGTAAATGTCTTTATATACATGTACAAGTACATGTAAATCATTCATGTGTGTAATGGTCCATGATATATTGTGAAGCATACTACTTGCACATGCAAAATGATTTGTATTGAAAATTTACATAAGAACGAATATATTATATAAATACTGCATGTGGTTGAGTGTAACATTGAAATTTTTCACCCCAAGAAAACCATTGTCAACCGAGGCGCAGCCGAGGTTGACAATGGTTTTCGAGGGGTGAAAATTTTCAATGTTACACTCAACTACATGCAATATTTATTATATTAATATACTGAATGTTTTATACAAATACATATAACAAAGAACCGTGCGCGCATATATTCTGCGCAGTCGCTATTTTTGGGAGTTGAACTAGTGTGTTCAATCTCCCATGGTCATCACGCATTTAACATGCGCAGTAATTTGTGTTGATTATATAGAGCCGAAAGCGAGGCTACTGTGTCGACCGATTTACTCCGATGATATTCAACAGAAAACATGCATAAACATCCGCCACAAATAGTTCATGTCATTTTCTCCTGAATTGATCTAATTTTCATAATGTAAGTAAATGTAATGATAAAGTAATCTTATTTTGAATATTAGATTTCGTTCAAAGTAAAACTAAATTATAAAGAACCTCAAAAGTTTTTCGTAATGGAACTCATTTTTAGTGTACCGTCATACACTGAAAGAGATACGAATGACAACTCTACATACTGACGGCAAGCGGTGAATCTAGTCTTCCCGACGCCCGACGGTACCGGATTTTTAGCAATTTCTTTTTTACCGATGCACAGAATTTATTCAAACTTTTCATAAACATTTTCCTGGTTTGAATGAATTCATTAATGCATAAAAATTTTACGAAACATGCGTATTTATTACTAAATCAGCAGAAGCACCTGCCAAAAGCGATACCTAATATATCTAGTACTCTGTTATAAATGTTAAAACCAAAATCGGACACCGATGTTTTCGTAAAATCGCGATTAAAAACAACAAAATAAAGTATGTATTTTTTTAATAAAAGGAAAACCTCATTTACATACCAGATAATTTGTAAGCACACAAATTCTCACATATACCATTGCTTTTATGTTTGGTCATTAAATATTTGTTTTTAACTTGGTATTGCTTTTTTCTTCACAATATTAAAAAAGATTAAGTTCTGACGTACTCCATGTATAATGTTCGTGTAATTGAAGTACATTTATATTCACAGAGACGTTTTATATAACAAACCTGTTAGCTCTTAAAAGGATGCTGTGTTAAAATCAACATTTTATCAACATTGATTTTATTTCTGCAAAACTGAAATTTTCATAACACATGGGTAAAGGTGCCAAGGAAAAATATATTACAAATTTGAAGACTGTGAGCAGTGAATTATATAAATGATCAACCGCCTCTAATATGAATATAATGGCAGTGTACATGTTTTGCAATGGGAAACCCAAAATATGTGTTGGATGAAAATTAAAGTAATAGAAGGTGTACACCGGCAATATGTAATAAAGATTCTATGAAAATTTCGTTCAGTGGTGTAAGAGGAGTTGCGGATAAGAGTTGGGTATAATACCTAAAGCATAACAAACAGATGGACGGAAATCCCGATTAATAAATACCCTCCCGCTTTTTAAACAGGGGATATAAAAAAAAGGACTAATGTAGGCAAGCAAACATTATGCCCCATGCATTTTTTTGCTAACTAATGTCTCTGAATGTCTCTCTCAAGATTGTTGCAACTCAAAAAATCTGAAACAGTTGTGTGAATTTGAAATAATAATATTTTTCACTCACTTAACCTCCCGATTTTATTTTACACCATGTTCAACTCCCATGAGTGCTTTCAGTACTTTGATTTAGAATATCACCCGTCGTCAAGCAATGTTGACTGTTACTACGCAGGAGGGCGTGGCTTCATTATTCAGCGGGTAATAGTGTTTTTTAACAAATGTTTCTCGACGAATCAGATTCAAGTAATTTACATGAAAGTATAATATTCCAAAATATAAAATAAAAAAGTGATACCGGTATCAATGATATACAAGTTATGGGGTAATGTCCCCTTTTCACGAAATGTACTAGTATATGAAATGCAATGAGTTGATGAAAGTGTGGACCCCTTTGCACCCACTGAGAGACTTTTGGGCGATCTAGAAATTCTCAAAAAGTCCATTTGTACCAAAACTATTATCACAGGGAGGTCATGGGGTGTTTGTCGTGAGATGAAGAGTAATGTATAGGTCACATTTAAGCCGATGGTCGACGCGGAGCAGTCACATGATTTCTTAAAAACATCGTTAATTTTCAAAAATCAAATACATGTATTTATAAGTCCGCCAACAGTCGACAGTTCTTCGTTCGTTAAGCCACAGCTTCATTTTCACTGTCGGCCGCCATTTACGAAATCCCAATTCCTTAATGTCGACCGACCGACTACCGACTTAACGAACTGTCTGCCGATGGTCGGACTATGATGGGAGCTTGCATGGTCGACGGACCGTTCAATAGCTGCTTTAATTGAAGGAATAGGCCACCGACGCAGAAAAATTATAACATGGCCCGACATACACAAAATCGGTTGGCCGACGAAAAAAGAGATCAAAATCGTGCAAGACAACGGCCGATGAACAGCCGACTGTCGCCCAAAGAATCATATTTTTGCCTCAAAAACCTTGGGCAGTTGATAGTTTTTTAGAAATGTGACTGAGGTTTAAGAGAAATCGCCTTGTTTCACTACGATCTGTAGAGATCATTTATCGACATTAAGGCTCTCAAGGGGCGCAAACTGAAAGGTATTTCAGATATTTACTTTGCTTTCTGTAGCAAATATCTTAGGATTTGCTAAGCAATTGTTTTTCTACTAATTATAGGATCAATCATAAATCTACGGAAATGGCCGAGATATCAATTAATTTTAACCAAAACGATATCATTAGTACTGTGAAACAAAATGATAAAAGAGAGACATATACTAAGGCGTTCCAAACATAAAAGCGATCTTGAAAAGAGATCAACAGAATAGCAAAGAGAACAATGATCGGAAGTGGATTTTTTTTCTTTTTTTTTCTTTTATTTATTTACTAGCATTTGGTTTTTGCCTTTTGAGAGACTGTTTATATTTTCGGCCGGTTTGTGACTGTGACGGACACAAAACTTATAAGGAGATTTTGGAGACTTGTACGGGACAACCGACAACAAATTGGGACCGTTACAATTATTATTTCCGGAAGCACACAACAGACAACCAATTTATTCCTCAAATTCAAATTACTAGTATTTGAAAGTTTGTAATTACAAAGACTTGATTGTTGTCACTTGACATAGACCAATTTCACGGGTGTCTTACATCACATTAAAAGTGCAAACTTACTTCAAGACTAATGAAGTGGTAAATTTAATTCTTAATGGAATGGGATACATTGGCTACATACATTTAAGGACTCACTCTCTAGTTAGTGGAGTATGCCAGGGCATTAGCGATAGTTGGAAACGGGTGATAATTTGCATAATAATAACAGTTGAAATAAAATCGTTAATATCGATTTTAAAAATGTAGACTAATAGATTTAGATTACCCGAGGCCTTCCATGTCAATATTTCAATATAGTCAACGCCCACTGACGTCAAACACAAATACGTACAGCCGCACGATTAAGTACACTGTAAAAAAATAACTAGTTAAGGAGGCTCATTACACCACTTTTTGATGACGTACTACACAAAAAAATAAACCTCCATTGCGTCGACTGGTTTCCTCTGGGGACGAGTTGTACAGGTACCTCTATAATATGACCCTGACCTTTCAAACGCTTTAAAAATAGATGAAACATGCGGTGTTATAAACAGTGAAAACAAAGTAACGGATTCATTATGCTTAAACCAAGAAGAATTGCTTTTAAGCAGAAATAAAAGAAAAACAACAGTCAAATCTTCGCCAAACAAGTAATGTCAATTTCATAGCGATGCATGCAGTGAGCTCTATCAATCAATGATATGTTTGTATAGAGGAAATTCGAATTAAAATCTACAACCTTGTTGAAATTAAAAAGATATTTACTTGCACTATTTACTGTGTTGGTGTTAATTTATATATTTGCTTTATTGATTTAAATGTATAATCTGGCAATTTAAAGCTTTGCTCTGAATTTTAGATGTAATGTCAAACGTTCCTTAGTGTTTTGAGTCTTGGGTAATTAGGAAAGATAACTCTTGAAAGTGGACTTTTTATACCAAATATTTTTTAAATTGGATTTTTCATTTCGTTTAAACATTCTTCATTCAATTTGACACATGTAATTCATTGAAATACATTCCTTGTCTCTTCAGAACTCATTTTATTAATGTTTTATGCATAGATTAAAAAGATAATGACATTAATTGTTTTTTATGAGAAAATTATTTTTTCTAATGAAATTATTATTAGGTATTATGAGGTATTTTCACTGTGTGTACTTGTCTTAAGAAGATGCCCATCATTTGACACTGAAAGTTCTGAAATTCTATTGATAATAAACTTGAAATGAAATATTTCACTAAAATTAGACAAAAACTAAAAAAATTCTATAAAAAATATTTATGATATCAATACCCCCATCCGGATATTTGACATCTATATTATAAGTGGTGCTGTATTGAAATCTAAAATAAACTGTGAATGTAATGAGCCACCTTAATGTCACGAAGAAAACTAGTAGATTCACTGTCCATACAATCACTACCTTAATAGTAGTTTTACCAGATATTGGTATATTTACTAGATAAGATTAGTAGATTTAGAATTGATGAGTAACTTTCACTAGGTATCTAAGTATCTATACGACCCCCGCTCCACAACTCACTATCTTAACCAGTAAACTGAAAGTTTACTAATCACGACCAACGTTTTACGAAACACACTGGTGAAATTCACTAGGTTTTTCTTTCAGTGTAGGCCTCCTTAGCGCCAGCTAGACACAAAGACAGACGCACGAGATTTACATGCATATAAGGCCTCCTTGGCCTTTGAACTAGTTCTTGGTGAAATTTACATTCCAGTAGAATGATAAAAAAATCAACTCTACAAACAGTCAAAGATTTATCAAAGAGAAAATAAATAGAAATATACATTTATTTACTGCCTTGTATTGATCGTGGATGTCAGTCTGGTTGATTGCATTTTACAGATCTTGAAAGAAATAGACTCCTGTCAGACCGGTTCACAGTAGAATGAGTTTAGATGAAAAGAGGAAAATGGGGAGGAAAGCAAAAAAATATTATTTTAAAGAATTTCACCGTTCTATACGAATACATGTATGCTACATGCACTTGACGTTTTAAGACTCTCTTTTCATAATAATTAATTTAAAAAAAACTCATACGATAAGCTACATATGTATTGTCCTCTACAAAAATTTGAATTTTTCAATTAAAATTTGTATATCATATACAAATTTTAATTGAAAAATTCAAATTTGTACATGACAGTACAATTAAAATATAGGGAAAATTTTATTTATGTAAAAAAAAAAAAGGTGCCTGATCGCGAAATCTGTATAAGATTAAAGATAATTTCGAATTGCTCGCTTTAAACACTATCGTCGAAATATTTTGAAAGATTTTAGTGCAAGACGACAATCCACTGTGCGACTTAGCTACATCTGAACGCAACATAAAAGAGTTCCAATATTTGTAAACAAAACAACGTGATTTGTTATATATAAAATTTTGTTTCGTAACCATGAAATGGGGTTTATTTTTCGGTACACGGCTGATCAGGTATGTATTCTCAGAAAATTGTTGCAGTAATAATCTTTATGTTTGGGTTTAAAAACTACAAATTGGAAATACATTTATGAATGAAACCGGTACATATACGCGGTACTCTGCGCAGGGATATAGCCTTATAGGTCTAAAGTAAAAGAAAATCATGGTGTTAAACAGTGAGAATGAGTATTGGAGATAATTGTTATAAAATAACTTATGCAAGAAGATTGTGCTAAATATTGATGTATAAGACAGATTTAAGGTGCATCATACATGCATACGTTACATAACAAAACAATTATAATTTTTTTTTTCAGTGGGGATTTGGCATTATCAAGAAATTTTGCAAGTCGGAAGAATTTCAGTTCTTTCAATGATCAGGTATTGGAAACTTTGAATAAGCTTTTACTTTTATTTTGCAGAATCTTTAATCTATAATCTGTTAAAACGTGTACTTTATGAATTTTCATACAGAATTTATTTTTAAAAATCATCAACATGATCAAAATGGTTTCTGTTGTTTTGTCTAATAACTGTTTATATAATTCAGATGATCAGAAGGCACACCAGAAAAGTATTTCCAGCTGCTGTTTCGTCATTTCTTGCCCTTGCCTTCTTCAGTAAAGCACCCTTAGTAGATTGTCCTCATCAGCAGCCAGTGGACCCTGGGGCTACAAAACATAACAGTAGGTAGGCATATTTGTGTGTTTGAAATGAACTGGAGTGATTTGGTCCAGGTTATTATTTTCTCCTATTTAGACGTTTTTTTACCAGCAGTTTTTAATTTTAAATGTACGTTTATAAGTTACTTTAATTGTATTATTTTCTTGATTATATTGTGTATAAACACAAGAAATATTAGTCCAAATACTGTATGTGTACATTAGTTGATGTATTAAAAAAATTCAAACACTGGGTATTGAGTGGTTTGCCTGTCATATATTGTATTTATAAGTGATTTCTTTAACCTTTTTCATGAATTAGTGCCTTGTTGTCCACTCTAAAGCTACTAAAATATGAAGCCTGCTTTTTAAATTAAACAGTACAGCAATTGAATCATAAATGAAATTCATTTTGTGTACTATGCAATTTTATTTTCCTTAAGGACTCTATTCATTCAATCAAATTGATACATGTATTGCTTTTTGATAAATCACAACTGTAATGGAGCGTTGACTTGTAGTTTAAAAGTAATTACAAAAGACCGCTCATCTTTTCTCAGCAAGATGTCAGCCAAACTACAGAGGGCTAAGCGAGAGGCCCTGTGGGGTATGTTTGTAGCAGATGCTTTAGCTATGCCAGTACACTGGTACTACAATCCAGCAGACATCAAGTCTGGCTATGGAGGATGGTTGACAGGGTATAGGGCTCCAGAGAAACATCATCCTTCTAGTATTCTCACCATCTCTGCCACAGGTAACTGCTGGTTTCTCCAGCTTACCGTCACAACCAATACAATGGTTCTCTTTTCAAGTGTCAAAGTTTTAATCTGCATGATACTTTTGTTTATTAATCTTAGAGTTGTATATTGTATACAGGGAAAATTTCACCCCCATTTTTTTCCCCTTTCACCTTTAACGTGAATTTGGGAGAATTTAAAACAGGGCAATTTCAAATAACACAGTGAATTTTGTTAAACAGAACTGTAACTGGGCAAATTTAAAACAGGATAAAATTGTTGGTAAGGGTAAAAGGGCAAAAATAATATGGGGTGAAAATAACCCGGTATACAATATCCAGAAAGGGGGGTTATTTATATATTCTTGTAAGGCTGTCTGATATTCCATTGAACAAACTTCCATTATAGGAGGCAGTGGTCGATCAGGATGGGGCCAAAAGAGCAAACCAATAATAGGAGATATAATTCTGCATGATAAACTTAAATACTGGACCAGCAATGACAGAACTGTGCATTATCACCAAGGTACGTAAAGCGACTTATGTTAATCACAATTGAAATTTTAGTGACTCATCCTGTGCCTGTATATTTAATTTATTTTTAGCTCACCTCAACGAAGTTGAGTTGAACTTTTGCCATACATGACACTCCTGGTGTCATCATAAGCATTGTTGGCTTTGGCATCCTGGTCTACATTTTTATGTCAAATCTAATCCTAAGTACATATAACTATACACCCTATCTGGGCCAAATTTGCATGGATGATGCACTTGGGGATAAATACTACCAGACTTGCTTCAGTTGCTGACTCCTATCTAATATATCTGAATAAGCGACCAGTTTAAGGTGAAACTGAAGTTAATCTGTAAGTGTCTGGATTCCTAATAATTAACATTTGGAACTATCTGCCTCATAAAAAAAAATATGAAAAATCATTGTAAAAAGACTGATCCCTTGCCATCAGTATGATGAAATAAAATAGGCACCGGTACTTGTATTCTGAACACCTACAATGATTTGTAATATTACAGAAGGTTCCAATATGTTCCAAATAAAATATCATGAATATTTGCTTTAATTGTTTGTATTGGTAGAATGAAATGCCTCAGAAAATAACATTGCTCTTTGGAAACTTAAAATCTTGTTTCCTTTCTTAATCATGTTTATTAACTGCATACTTTTCACTAGCTGCAGTAATGTAGCCCTCTCCGATTTTTTTTATCTGATGTTTTCTGGAGAGGGCTACACCCCCCCCCCCCCCCCCCCCCCCCCCCCCCCCCAAAAAAAAAAAAAGGGAGAGGGCTACATTATTGCAGCTAACTTTTTACATTAAAGTAAAATAGTATAACAGGTTATTATAGAAAATTATAGTCATTCTTGGAGAAGCTTAATGAGAAAAAAATAAATCTTTTATAGGAATGAAACCAGGGGACAATACATTAAATCTCTCAATGGCACTTAAAATGCTACAGACCATGCAAGCAGTTGATCCAGAGGCCTCAATGGATCCACGAGAGTTACGTGGTAAAGTTTTGGAACAGTATGTGAAATTTATGACTTCACCTGGATCACATAATGACACTTATGCCGAGTCATTCCACCGATCATTCTTCAAAGACTGGAGTGAGAACAAGACTCGACCAAAAGTTGCTGAAGACATATTAAAGTGGGCAGAGGAAAGGTTAGACTATGTATTTATATACTGAATTGGTTTCTCACACTGGGATAATTGAAAATGCCCTTTAGAAGATCCTATGAAAGATACATATTGTTTTGATGAAGTTGGCAGTAATTTAAGTTATTACCTATAGATTAAAAAAATCAGCATAATTTTGTCATAAGAAAAAAGATTCCGATTCTTATGCAATTAAAAACAATATGTGTAGAATGTTGTTTTTCATGTTTAGCCAGGCTTTAATGTTTTATTTATTTATTTATTTTTGTTTGGTTTTGATGCATATATTGGTGCATATATTCATGAAGGTATTTACTAGATAGTTGTACTTTGATCAAACCCATACTTTTTTTTAGCTCACCTGAGCCGAAGGCTCAAGTGAGCTTTTCTGATCAAAATTTGTCCGTTGTCTGTCGTTGTAGTCGTTGTCGTCGTTGTCGACGTCGTTGTGGTAAACTTTTCACATTTTCATCTTCTTCTCAAGAACTCCTGGGCCAATTTCAACCAAACGTGCCACAAAGTATCCTTGGGTAGAGGGAATTCAAGTTTGTTCAAATGAAGGGCCAAGCCCTCTTCCAAGGGGAGATAATTATGAATTAATGAAAAATTAATGGTATCTTTTAAAATCTTCTTCTCCAGAACCAATGGGCCAGGGAAGATGAAACTCATATGGAAGCATCCTCAGGTAGTGTAGATTCAAGTTTGTTCAAATCATGACCCCCGGGGGTAGGGCGGGACCAAATGGCCGATCACAGGTTTACATAGGAATATAAAGGAAAAATCTTTAAAAATCTTCTTCTCCAGAACCACTGGGCCAGGAAAGATGAATTCCCCCATGAAATATGTTCTTCGTTTTTTATAGTTTTCTGTTTTCCCTAAACTATTTTCAAAAATCATTTTAATTTTTTACTTGCTTCTCATTTTTTAATTTGCCTTTTCAATATTTTTTCGCCCACCCCCCTTCTTTCCTTTAAAGAGCGATGCTTCGACTACATGCCTGCTATGTAGAATATCTTGAAAATGTGATAAGCAATCAATGATGCGACATGTTCCACAAATTTCCAGAGACTATTTTCTAGAGTTTTGACCTTCAAACACTTGAAAAAGAAAGCTGAATTAAAAGAAAAAAAAAACATTTAGACGCATTGTCATTTACAACATTCTTTTACCTCATCATCGGAAATTTTACAATACCTGCTATTAGGAAAGATAACTCGTGTTAAGAACGATAACTCGATTTTACGAGAAGAGAGAATACAGCAGTTGGATTCCACAATCATCGTGACCCAGACTATTTTTAAAACTCTTTTTTTTAGAAACATGAAAGCAAGCAAAGGTCCGTCAGATCACCAGCTGGTCAGTATTGGCGCTCTTGTACCTGCCATTCCGTGGATTGTTCACTATGCACATAAAAGCGAATCAGAATGTGCCAAAGCAACCATAGACTTTATGAAACTCACCCACCCGGAGTCTGGTTTGGTTCCTTTTATCGATATCTACGCCAGACTGCTACATGCTGTATTGAACGGACATCCGCTGAAGCAGGAAGCAATGAAGACACTTAGTAACGCTGAACTGGGAGGTCAACAAAAACGGGAATCCGTGCTGAATCTTCTAGACAAAGCTAACGGGTAGGCGGGAAAAAATGGGAACTAACAATGTGAGAGATACATGTAAATGTAATTCACTTCTAGATAAAGCTAACGGGTAGGCGGAAAACATGGGAACTAACAATGAGAGAGATACAGGTACATGTAATTCACTTCTAGACAAGACTGATGGGTAGGCAGGAGAAAAGTAAGGGACAAGCACGAAATATACATGATTTACTTCTGGACAAGGTTAATGGGTAGGCAGGTGAAAAATAAGGGCTAACACGAGAGGCATATGATTACTTTTAATGGGTAGGCGGGGGGGAAATAATGGGACTAAGTGGAGGCAAAATTAATTGCGTCTGATAATTTATTATTTGGAAAGGAAAATCGATATTTGTAAAGAAAAAAATTTTGTACAACTTTCTTTCGAAAATTATTGAATTTTATATTTTGCACATTATTTTCTTTAAGAAAAAAATAAAATGTGTGATTTTTCAAAGAAGAGATTTATTTCAGATTTCATATGAAACATATACATGCATTTAATTTTTTAAAGTGATAAATTTTGTCTCCCGTTTGCAAAATTACCTAAAAGAAATATCAAATGATTGTGAGAAAATTTTCTTTATAATAGCGCCAAAATTCGACTGTTTCCCCTAACAAAGTTTAGCAATTGTTTCCAGTTTTATAAATCTGTTTTAAAGTACATGACATTGTACAAGTATTAATATATAATAATTACGTGTTATACTTAAAGAAGTTTTGTTCTCATTTACTTTTTAATGTAATATTTTATTACAATATCAGATTCAGATTTGAGATAATGCTGGGAATGAGTTTTGTTTTTGTTGCTTATGTCTAATTCATTTAGATTTTCATAATTCTATTTGACTACAAATAGTTTTCTTCATATTAAGGAAATTATTATTTTTACCCAATTCAAAAGGAACATGTGGTAATATTTTTGAAAAAAAAAGTCGGGCTTCATATTGATCTTCATTTTTCATTTCAGATTTCCGAAAGGGTCTGAAAGCCGATTACGGATGTACCAGTCCGCCACCAGTCGTTTGGGATCCGCCTGTTACATGGAAGGTGCTTTGTCCAGCCTGCTGTTCCTAGCATTGGAGTTTGCTGATGACGTTAACGAAGGGCTCTTGGCAAACGCTAATTGTGGAGGTATATAATGCCTTGAGATTTGATTTTGTGTCTTATGTAGCATCAAAGGCAGTGGTGTTTTTTAAAAATGAAAAGGGTTAATAAAAAACTAGAAACAGTATAAATCTGTAAACTGAGCATAAACTGACCTCTGGAAATTACGCAATTTAGTTTAAAACAAATCTAACAATGGCATCAAACAGGAGTCAAAAAAGATCCAATTATATGTATTGTACGAGTATATTTGCCAACAACTTTATCATAACGACCAAAAATTGCAAACTGATTTTGAAAAAAAAATATATGGCAGTTAGAATTCGTGGTACGCGTACGTGTCTTTTATTTCGAGTTTGCTGGGGCATATCAAGTAACATAGCAAATGATTATTATGTCAATGGGAAAAGCGAAAAAAAAAAATTAAAATATGACGGATTTTTTTATAATTGAATTCAATAATTAAAGTTTTACGAACTCTAAAACTATCAAGTTTATCTGGGCTTCGTAAGTGACTTGAATTTTATCCAGCTTGGTTCAAACTGACTTCGTTATCTTTCCTTTATGCGTTATTTCTTTACGAGTCTTTCTCATGGTCACTCTTGGAGTTTCATATGATGTAGACCAAGAGAAACGCTTGGATCTTTATGGAGACAAGAACCTTCTAAGGCTGTGGGTTTTAGCCACAAGATTACTGGGCTTCAGACAATTATAATGACAAAATCATTATCAATGGGATATAAAATCTGAATTTCATCCAATATAATGTTATTTTTCAGGGGAAAATTGTCATCGGGGTGCTGCGCTTGGGGCACTGTTAGGGGCATCAGCGGCTTACAGGGAAACCGAAGTGTCGAATGAATTCAAAGAAAAACTTGGTTCCTCAAAGCCTGGACTTATAACTCTAATTGAACAAATGCAAACGTAAATTATAAAGTAGCATGTTATTTCTGATACTGTGAAGTTTATATCTATTTATTAATATTGCTGTTTGAAAGTATGAACTAATTGGTTCGATTTGCAATGTATTTTATGCTTAGTTTTGCACAAAATACATGTTAAATATTAGAATTTGATCAACAAAGAGTGATGCATTTGGGTTCATTGATTGTCTGTGAAGTCTATAGAAGTTTTATCATCCAATTATCTTGGCATAATGGAACAAAGTCATATTAAATGTAAACATACTCTATTATGCAATCAAGAGTGTAAAAACCCAACTACTAATAAAACCTTTAGAATTAAAAGGAATATTATACAATAAAAGTATGTTCTATTATTAGAATGACAAATTTAATCAGGAGCTTGAAAACCCTAATATATATATATATACTACAAAGCCACCGATACACATCAGTATTTACACTTCGGCTCATGTCATCCAAGCCATACTAAAAGAGCGATACCCTATAATCTGGCAAGAAGAGTTTGCACCATAGTAAGTGAGGAAAGCACAAGGGATTTACGACTAGAGGAATTAAAATCTTTTCTTGTGAAACGTAAATACCCTATACGACTAGTGGATGATGGCATAAAAAAGGCTAAGTCTTATGAAAGAACACAACTACTTACGACACGTGACAATCGGGAGGAAAAACAAATTATACCTTTTGTTCATACCCACAATCCACGAAACCAAAACCTAACACCAGTGGTAAAACAATTAAACCTTATACTAAAGGAGGATGAGAACACAAACGCAATTTACCGAAATGTTCAATTTATAAATAGCAAACGCCAGGCTAAAAATTTAAAAAGAATTCTGTGCACATCCAGTTTCAAGGAAAAGAATTGTTCCGTAACTAAATGCAATGACCCGAGATGCGGTACCTGCGACTATATTTTGGAGGGAACCAGCTACAACTTCCGGGGCCGAAATTTCACTGTAAATGCTGACATGTCCTGTGAAACTAAGAACCTAATTTATGTCATAACATGCCCGGGTTGTAACGAATTTTACATCGGAGAAACTAGCACTACTCTGAGAGCTCGGTTAAGAGTCCACAAACAGCATATTAATAACCCGCAATACAGACAAATTAAACTTAGTGAACATTTAGATATATGCGGGAAGAGACAATTTACCGTTTTCCCGTTCTATAAGATGTCCGGAAACCAAATCCAACGAAGAGAAAAAGAAAAACACTTTATTACTACTTTAAAACCAAAGCTAAATAGCATTGTTTGACTTTCCCGTAATAACTGCTGGGAGAATTACGTCATAGAGACTGTATTACGTTCCGCTAATTATGACGTCATAGAAGGCGTTACTATGTGACAGTTAAAAAACTTGATTGTAAAGCATCTGAAGATTTTTAAATGAAAGCGCTAATGCTTTACTTTGTTGTCTTCGTGTTTTCTTTTTAATTATTTTACTATACAACTATACCGACCACTGTGAATTCATGGACTTCTGATATATATATATATATATATATATATATATATATATATATATATATATATATATATATATATATATATATATATATATATAAAAAAAGTTAAAAAGAAAACACAAAAATCCTCAGTTAAGCTTTAGCGCTTTCATATTCAATCTTCAGAAGCTTACAATAGTATCATAGTAACAGTGATTATGACGTCATGTTAAGCGGAACGTTAAATGTCTATTATGACGTCATAGATACAATATGACAAAAGTACGGGGAAATCACAAGTAATTTATAAAACACTATTAAGGGGGGACCTATGTCCGAAAAGTCTTTGTGTGAAATTTTCAAAACTTTGACATTTCTTTCCTGACCACTTGCTTTTAATTTTTAGGTATTGAAAACAATACCTTTATGTGCTTATTTATACACAGGAGCACGTGCAAAAACAGTGTGAAATGCTAAAAATAGATTATTTTCAGACATTCTTGTTTTACTCCAAATATGCGCTAAAAAGAACCAAAAATGTCAAATCACAATCGAAATCAACATGTATTTAATTTATATGACTTGTATCTTTAAAATGAAGGCAAATTCATTGTAATTCATCTCGCATGAAAAATTATAAAGGAGCACAATGTAAGTATCACCCCGTTTTTCTTGTCGTATTTTTTACAATTCCGACATGCATAACAGGTAATATCTTAAAAAGTCTTTGTGTGAAAATGTTGTAATAAATATTTTTTGAAAGAAGTCACCCCTCTCTTTAATTTAACAAAGAAAAAAGTATAACTTTATCATATAATAAACGAGAAATATGACGTTTTCTTTTATTTTCGTTCTCTTCTGTCATAAACATTGACCTTTCTGCACTAAAAAAAGGTAAGTTAGCACTGACAAACATCTGAATATAAATCTATTTTGCAAAAAACGAGTATTTTGTTTTGATAAGAAATAATTTAAACAGATAAACTCTTTTCTTCTTCATTCTAATCATTCTGCCCCCCCCCCCTTTCCCCGTCAACAACCAACACCTAATAGAACCTAGGAATGACATAATACAATAAAATCTACATACACTATAAATCAATAAAATATAGGTACAAGTACATTTCTTAATTTCTTTTTAGTTTTATCCAGAAAATACAATTAATGGTAATCATAAGATTAAACATATTTCCCTGATTAAAGCCGCTGTCTTTGCTGAATTTTATCTTATAAATTTTGCATTTTTATATCAGCATATCATGGAGGTATATCTTCACAACTGAAATTGCTATGAATTATCAACCAAAGGAAGAGAATTCTAATATTAACAAACTCCATAAATCAAATAAAACTGTTATAAATGATGAAAAAAAATTCCTTTTGTAAACTGTGTACGTTATTGATTAATAACAATGTTATGCCTATAGTCACAGTTGCAAAAGTCAGCGGGAAAAAACAAACGTCGCTATTGTGACGTCACATAACGCTGCTTTGACGTAGAACGACATAGGTCCCCCCTTAAGTTTTGGCTGAAAAATACTAATAAAATGTTTTTCTTTTTCCCGTCTCTGGGTATCAGTGGCACAACTGAGTTTGTAGAAAGGGAAAATTTTGAATTGTTTTTTACCACACGCCTCCAGGTGCGAACTTAATTGAATTTGTCTGTATTCGGGTGTACTAATGTGTTGCTTATGTACACGTACACGGGCACGGAGAGTGTTGCCGGTTTCACCAATATAATATTCCTTGCATCCAGGACATGTGATGACATAAATGACATTTTTTGTATCGCATGACATGTTTTCTTTAACTCTAAATTCACGCCCATTGAAATTATAGCTGGTCCCTTCTGTAATGTATTCACATGTACCGCATCGAGGGTTCTTACACTTAGAGACTGTATAAGTATGGTCGTTGAATTTGGAAGAACAAAATATTCTCTTTAGGTTTTTGGGTTGGCGTTTACTGTTGATAAAACGACAATTCTTGTATACGTTTTTCGTTTGTTCGTCCTCTCTAAGTACGTTGTTCAATTCATGAATAATTGAACTCACGTTTTGATTTCTCGGGTTATGCGTGTGCACAAATGGAATTATTTCAACGTCATTCGCACGTCGTATGTTTAAAAGTAACTGACTTCTATCGCACTCCTTGGCTTTCTTTATACCGTTATCTACAAGTTGTTCTGGATATTTTTGGTTTAATAAATACAATTTTAATTCCTCCAGTCGAATATCCCTGATATTGGTATTACTCACAATGGTGCATATCCTTCTTGCGAGGTTATATGGTATAGCTGTTTTAGTGTGATGGGGATGGCTTGATCCAAAATGCAGATACTGGTGTGTGTCGGTTGGTTTATAGTAAATATCCGTATTTAAGCTGGTATTATCCTTTGTTACAAGAACATCGAGGAATGACATTTGCAAATCATCTGTTTCAATCGTGAATTTGATATCCGAATTCATTTGGTTAAGTAGATCATAAAACTCCGTTAGTTTATCGACATCCTCCTCCCATAAGATAAAACAATCGTCTAAAAATCTTTTCCATTTAGACCGTATTTTGTTTGCAGATTCTATCCCCCACAACGTACACAGTTGATCATGTAATTTATGTTCTAGATAACCAAGGGTTAATGTTGCATAGGTAGGTGCGACTTTTGTCCCCATTGCTGTTCCCTTAATTTGGAGGTAATGATGGTCTGCAAACTCAAACGTATTGTTATCTAGAACTAATTTTAGAGCCTCTAGGATGAAGTCCCGTTGAAACCTGTTGTTTAGAACATCGGGATAATTTTCAGTCCAGAATTTGACAGCTAGCAATCCCAATTCTGTAGGAATATTTGTATACAAACTTACAACATCCAGTGTGACAAGTTTGGTGTTAGAGGTGACATGAGTAGGTAAATGATTTATAAAATCAAGATCGTCTCTCACAAAGCTAGGTACTTTTTGACAATATGGTTTTAAAAGTATATCCAATAAATGACTCAGTCTTTGCGTTGAAGAGTTCGGTCCTCCTACAATTGGTCTGAAGCTTAAATCAGCGGGATCAGCACATGTAATACATATACTATTTTGCTCTTTTATGGCATCCTTTATAATTTTAGACTTGTGCACTTTAGGTAAACCATAGAATTGACTCTCTCGGAATTCAAAGTTTGTCAGGTAGTCCTTTTCCTTATCTGTTAAACCCTCCGATAGTGGTCCATATACTAAGTTTTTTATTTTTGTAATTGTTTTTTTCTCATTACAGTTGCGCAATTTTTCATAAAAATTTTTGTCTTGCAACATTTGTAAAATTTTACTTTTGTAAAAATTCTTATTCATAAGGACGACTCCGCCTCCTTTATCGGCCTCTTTGATTATGATGGTAGGGTCATCGCTGAGGTTTTTAAGAGCCTTTTCTTCTTCTTTAGAAAGGTTTGGTTTAATAGTCCTGGGTTTATTTGGGAAATGAATATTTTCCAATGTGTCGCAAACAGCATCCAAAGTTTTATTTCTTCCTCGTTTTGGGTTAAACTTGGATTTGTTTCTTACAAGGTCTGTTTCTTCTGCGTCTGTAGACTCGGAATCAGATTCACTGGTATCACTTTCATGAAAATATTCACGTAGCCTGAGTCGCCGAGTATAAGCTTTTATATCTGTTTTAAGCTCTTGATTATTTACTTGAGGCGTAGGGGTGTATTTTAGACCCTTAGACAGTAACTTGATTTCGGAATCCGTTAGTTGTCTATGGGAAAGATTAAATATTTTTGGTTCCATCTTAATTACATTCTTGGACGTGTCCCCGGCATTGCTGTTGCTTATAATTGTGGCATTTGATTTTTGTATCTTTGACCTTGGTTCATTTTGCCTCCTCCTAAAAAATACTTGTGTA